TCTCCTTGATAGCCGCTCGTATTCTGCTGTCTTATTTCATCAAATAAACAAATACAGTGTATTCTAATGTTCGAAAATGTGAAAATGGATAGTCTCATTTATAACGAAGAAACTAGTTAACGTTATAATTTATGCTTGGTGATAAGGTGAATGGTATTTAGTTAGGATAAAATATACAAGTAATTAGTAATACTAAAATCGAAAATGCAAATTCTATAGAGTAAAAAGGACAAAATATGGCGGCAACCTGTGTTGGCATGCGCCAACATATTTAGATATGGCGCCTTGTTTGAATATGTAAATGTAGACTTTTGTAAAGATAAAATGCCAGAAAAATTCCGAAGTGGTGTTAGAATAAATTTGAACTCTTATTTTAACTAAATTTTAAAAATGTGTTTAAGAACATTTAGAAGAGTGTTTATGTAAAAAAACGGATCGTTTTTTTCTAAACTCTTTTAAGCTCGTTCCCCATAACATAAAGTTCGAATACTTATTACTTTAATGCGTCAGCCTGACACTCTGGGGACGTAGGATTGGAACCAGGCAACCAACTCCTTGAATTTTTCATGGTTAATATGTTTGGGATACGACGGGCTCCATTTCTCACCACCCGGCTGCCCCATTGTGAACCACGCCAAACTCACGATGCGCATGGAAAAAAGGCTCTTCTGACAGCCAGACGGCCGATTGTTTATGATGGCCGCTACCACTCTGGGGAAGCCGAATCGCATCCGAACGGGAAAATCATAGCAATTTTTCAGGGGAAGTCCGTTCGAATATGTTCCTCACCATTTGGCATTCTCACCACCCACTTGTGTGTATGGCCAAACCATTATAATGGGCTTGTTAAAAAGACCTTGTCAGTGCCTATAGGATGAAAAGAGTTGAAAAGAAAAACCACCATATTGAATTTGGCCTGAAATGGGTTTCAGTATGAGGAATAGAAACTATAATAGCACTGATCTTTAATAGCTAAGCTAGACCCCAGGTTAACAGGACCCTATCTGGGGTTAACTGTTAACAATATAATTTAAAATTTTTAATATATATATTTTTTTCTATCTTGACTGTTTATACTTGTTCATACCTATTCTATTTTGAGTTTTTGACGTGAGGTTTTCTTCGATCCGGCTGCCAGTGACTACATGAAGAGATCCAGAAATTACTTCGCAAACAAAACTCCAACTCAACAACTAGCAAGGCAAGGATACTCTTTCTCGTTGATGATCATAGTCGTCATCTTCATACATTAATGTGTGCATGTCTTCTAGTTTCATATTCGAGATCCAACTCTTTAGTGACGGGAACGGATTATTTCACAAATCTGTAACAAGATCCAGTGCGTTACCAAAACAGGGACACTTAAACTTTATAAAACTTCAACAGCTCCAATTAAGTACTACGCATTGCAGGACAAACAATTTAAATTTGCTGGATCCTACGAGGACCTTACTGTTGAATAAAAACTGGCATGCCATCTCCTCTACAATTTGGGCATATTTCTATAGATGTTTTTACCATCATGACATTTACATTTTCCACAAATTGCGTTTTTCTCACTAGCAGATTTCGAACTGCTTCATTGTGGAGAACTCTTGTAGAGTAACGACTAATTCATGAATTAAACCTTTAACTCTAATATGTCCATCGCTGTGGCTACTGCAAAAATTATATAAACAATATCCATAAGAGACGAGAATCCATATAATTTAAAAAGCGTCTTTAATTCGTCAAAATTGTATACAGTCATATCCCGACTTACGCGAACCCGGAGTTACGCGATTTTCAAATCCCGTCGATTCGTCTTTTGTTTGAGCGCCATGCAACCCTTGATTACTCACTGTCCCCACACTATTGTTTGGCTTACATGTTCGGATGTGTCGCGCGGAATCGACGCATAGCTACAATTTATTTTGTGTAATTTATTTCTGTTTGTTATATCTACGGAGATTCGAGAGACTCTATGTGGTGATTTCTTGTAACCGTGAACGAACCAAAAGGCGAGATAAGATTAACGAGAACATTTATTAGCTTACATACATCCGACTTGAATTTTACACAAAAGGCATCTGCAATCGTAAACAATTGACGAAAAATTATACATTTATCAGATAATAAACAAAGACTCATTTTGTAAACAATTTACCTTTCGTATATACAACTGACAAGATTACCTTTCAAATTATAAACAGATTCGATCTCAAGCGGTCTTTTGATCGTCGAACATACAAAAGAAATGAACAGATGGCGCCTAACTTAAGCGCGATTTACAATAACGAACATGATTAATGTTAACACTCTACTATGTCATCCAAACGAAGTAGAACTGATTCTTCTGCATCAAACAATAAAAGAAAAAGTTTATCTTTGGAATGTAAAGTTAACATTATTAAAGACTTCAATACAAAAATGAAAATTTGTAAATTGGCAAAGAAGTTTGATCTACCGGAATCGACGGTCAGAACAACTATAAAAGGTAAAGAAAAAATTCTCGAAGCTGTAAAAAATGCTCAATCTTTAAATTCAATCATCATTCGTAAACGTCACGGTATTATCGCTGAGATGGAAACAATGTTAAAATTATGATTTGATAATCAAGTTAATGTGAAAAATTGTATAATAATATAATTTGTTATACGTATGTATTATCTAAGATTTTATTAAACATTTTTTTCTAAATTATTGCTTTCTTTAGTCTCCGGTCCCAATTAAAAATAATTTGTATGTATTTATATGCAAAATTATACCCCGAGTTACGCGAATTCGACTTACGTGGTTATCGCTCGGTCCCACCTATCGCGTAAGTCCGGGGTATGACTGTACTTTTTGTGCCAATTTAAGAACACAATTTCAGATTATAAAAATACAGAAATTGCGTCCAGTTGATGTACGTACAGTACTAGGTTGTTTGCTTATGTTTATTCGTATATGACAACGCGCAAGTGCTGATGGGGAAATTGACTCTATCTAGATGTTACCGTGTTTCCCCGAAAATAAGACATCCGCAGAAAATAAGACCTAGCACAGGTTTTGCTGAATTGCGAAATATAAGACCTCCCCCTGAAAGTAAGACCTAGCGAAGTTTTTTAGTCGTAAGGTCATCGACATATGGTTGAAAGTGGCCGTTGGCTTTTTGAAAGTACAGCCACTGATTGGTCAGCAGACAATTACGCCACACGGCATGATTTGCATAAGACTATGGCTTGGGAATCACAGATTTGCATAACGTTACGGCTGGGGATGGCTAATTGGTCGGCCGGGAATCACGCCACATGACATTTGCATAGTGCTACGGTTCAGTAAGCACTAATTGGTCATCGAGTCCGACGTTGACGCTATAAAAAGGCGACAATTCGACACACCGGATATACGTCACTCTCGTCTAAGTTCGACTTGGGAATTTTTTGTTCAATAATAAATGTGAATTCTTCTTCCTGGAAAAAATAAGACATTCCCTGAAAATAAGACCTAGCGCATTTTTCAAAGCAAAAATTAATATAAGACACTGTCTTATTTTCAGGGAAACACGGTAGGTTATTAACGTAAAAAAATAATAATAATAAATAAACTCAGATAACTTCATCTGCCAGCTAATTACGTGAATCCCCGACCGACTACCAGCGTTCAATAGTTTAATGGTCCACGCGGCCGCTGATGGGCGTGTATTATATTGTAAAAGTAAAGTTTAAGTATTTCGATTTTTTCTAGAAACGACTGGAAGAAATGTTCTAGAACATTCGCTTTTAGTATATAAGTAGAATAATCAAAAGGCGTTTTATGAGATATTTCATCGGAAACAGACTTATCATCAATGTCTGACAATGTGAAATATTCGAAAGAACAAATTTGCGTGCTGTTGCTCTATCATTTGAAAAGTGGTCACAACGAAGGCTTACGATCTCATCTGCGATACATTTCTTAAAGTATTCGTGGGTGAACAAAAGTCAACCAGCTGTTGTAAATGTCAAAGGGACGATAAATGCAGAAGGAGATTATGTGCGTTTGTTTGGCATCATTGCAATGGAGCCGCTTCCAACCAACTTCGTTGTCGCGAAAGAACTCTATTGCGAACAATTGGACCGTTTGAACACCATGGTCAAATAATTTCGTCCATAAATTGACAGTATTTGAAATATTAATATATCTAAGGCATATTTATTAAAAATTTGCAAATATCTGGCGGGATGGCCAAAGTAGCTAAGGAGTATCAGTAAACTTCTACGGGAATCCGAAATCGAATCCAGGCGAGCAACCACGAGATTCTTTCGAGGGCGGTAATGTTTCCGATATGTCTGGCTTCACTCCTCATCACTGTTCGCTTTCCATGTGGGTCTGACCGAACCACAACGAATACGAAGAAAAGGCCTTCTTAGTGCCTACAGGGCAGAAATTAAACATTTATTTTTTTTACGGCTGGACAGTCGCGCTGTTAAGTTGGCTGAGAAACTAAGGATCTAATCCAAACAGGCCGAAAACACCCAAAATTTTTCGGAAGCAAGGTCCATCCGGATACATCGAGTCACTTTCCTCGCCACCCGATTGCCCCGTGAAGGCCTGGATGAGCCCATCGCTAAACAAACAAGTCCACTTACTGCCTACAAGGGAGAGAAAGTTTTTTTAAACTTTTTCTGTCCTGTGGACACTAAGAGGATCTCTTTTAGCAAGCCCAAATGGGTTCGGCCAGGCCCACAATGGGCGGACAAGTGGTGAGGGACGGCGCCCGACATATCCGGACGGGACAACCCCGAAAAATTCCCGGGATTTATCGACTCGTCCGGATTCGAACCCGGGTTACCATAACGTTGTTGCCACCATAATCGCTCGGCCTACCGGCCAAAGGGGGTAAGAGTTAAAAAATAAATTAATTTTCTTCCCGTTTCCATTAATTCAAAATTAAATATTTATAAATTAATATTTAAAATAATTAATAATAAAATATTTACGATTAAAAATATATATACATTTATATTTAAAATATCGTAGATCTGGCAACACTTAGACGTAGCGAGTGTGTTGCGATTCTATAGCTGTGGATGAAACAAAATTAACGATATGAAAAGTGAGTTATTTGTGCATTAAATGTCCGAAAAGGTCGAAAACGATGTTTATGGCGTTATAAGTATCATTTGATACCGTATTAAGATGCAAGAGGTTTATGAATAAGTTAACCTTGATGTAGGTGAGTTGCATGTTTATGTCTCAACAACAAAGTCCAAGTTTTGGAGGCAACCTTAAAATACTCATCATTATAAACATAAAAATAAGGAATTATGCACGCTTATGTGCCATTACCTTACATTTTACATACAGAATTACAATCTTCACGTTTATAATAAGCTGTCATTACATATATTAATACAAATGAAATGTCTTATGTATTGTTTACACATCTAAACACATATATACATGTATACGTAATATTCAACTGAAAGAGTATGTAATTAATTAAAATGCTTGCATACACGATTGTGTTAACAGGATTATTGATATATTTACTGTATAAAGTGAGAAAATATATCAATGTCTTTATTATTTCATAATGCGATTGGTGATTTATGAGATGACATTTTGAAATTATGATTTTATTATATTGTTTTTCTGGAGATAGGAAAATCGTGTTTCGAGTTTAAAAGAAAGGAGCATTGTAACAAAATATGGAAATTGGAGGGAATGTCAGAAAATAAATTCACACTTCAGCAAAAAATTTTTAGAAACAAAAACATTTTAAACCTAATTTAATAGATCTTCATCAGTTGAGTATTCAAAAATACAACATATTTGAATAAAAAGAACATTCAATAAATACCAGTAGAACAGGACAAAATATAAAATTTAAATATTATAGATATAATATAAAGTAACAAAAATAATGTAATATGATAATAAAAATTAGTAACAAATATTTAACAAAATAAAATAACAATAACAATAAAATAATGTAAAAGTACTCCATTAAAGGAATCGAGTTAGAGCTGATACAGAGACAGACCACATCCCCGTAATTAATGCAAGTGGAAGATCTATTAGCTTTATATGTTTCAAAGGTCTCTAAATGTCTAAGTGCATTTAGTTCCTTTGCTGGTCCGACGATTGTAGAGTCTTCCCACTTGACTCCATGTACTTCTTGTTGGGTATCGTATGCCGTGTTTCAAAGTTTCGTATCGATGGTATACTTGTGTTCTTTAAGCCTATGTTGTAGGTTTTGTTTTGTAGCCCTGATGTATGCTAGTATCCTGTTAAACCGTGGGTCCTCTATTAGGATTGAATAAATCCCAGAGAAATCATTGTAACTATACTGTGTCTTGTTGTTTCTTAAGATCTTAAAAACAGTGGGGTTATGTTTGTATATCATGTTCACATTATTGCATTTTGCACTTGTACACGTGTGTATTTTCTTAAAGGTAGGAAAATAGTTCATCCTGAGTTGTCTTTGGTACTCAGGTCATGGTTGTCTGGTCTTGGGTGATTGGAAGGAGTTGATCAATCATATCAACCATGCCAGAAACCCGTGTTGTTTTGCGACTCTTTTAATATAATTGATCTCGCCAATATCTTTACTATACTCGTACAATGTGTGAATGCTCTTCTAATTAAGGGTTCAAATTCATAAAGTTTTGTGTTGTGGGTCGACAGAGTTGTTGGGAATGAAAGTTGGTTGATACATTGGATTACGATACATGTTGGTATGGATTTCACCATTCTTACAAGTAATGGAAAAGTAAATGGAAATTGTGGAAATCCATACCAACATATATCGTAATCCAATGTATCAATCAACTTTCATTCCCAACAACTCTGTTGACCCACAACACAAAACTTTATGAATTTGAACCCTTAATTAGAAGAGCATTCACACATTGTACGAGTATAGTAAAGATACTGGCAAGCTCAATTATATTAAAAGAGTCGCAAAACAACACATGTTTTTTGCATGGTTGATATGATTGATCAACTACTTCCAATCACCCAAGACCAGACAACCACAACCTGAGTACCAAAGACGACTCAGGATGAACTATTTTCCTACCTTTAAGAAAATACACACGTGTACAAGTGCAAAATGCAATAATGTGAACATGATATACAAACATAACCCCACTGTTTTCAAGATCTTAAGAAACAACAAGACACAGTGTATTTACAATGATTTCTCTGGGATTTATTCAATCCCAATAGAGAACCAACGGTTTAACAGGATACTAGCATACATCAGGGCTACAAAACAAAACCTACAACATAGGCTTAAAGAACACAAGTATACCATCGATATGAAACTTTGAAACACGGCATACGATACCCAACAAGAAGTACATGGAGTCAAGTGGGAAGACTCTACAATCGTCGGACCAGCAAAGGAACTCCTCNTTGATGTATCATTCCCAGAACAGTTATAGTTCTGAATGAGATGGTTGGAACCTTATCAGAGTTGTAGATCATACCTGTAGGAGTAAAAAAGGTGTTCAAATATTTTATAACTGATAGTTTTTTCATAGTTAATCACACAGATTTCCATGTACTGTACATATAACTGCAAAAACATATACTTTTTTAAAATTCTTACTTGTATGATTGTAGTAATAGGATTATTGATATATTTTAGTGTATAAAGAGAGAAAATATATTCATATTTTTATTACTTCATAACACGATTGCTGAGATATGAGATGACATTTTGAAATTATACTTTTATTATATGTTTTTTTGAAGATAGAAAAATCATGATTTGAATTCACAATAAATGGACAGTCCATTAATTATGTGTGCTGTGTTTGAGCCTCTTTTGATCCTTTCATGTACATTGATAGGTACCTATGTTGAATTATGTGTACAATAGTTCTCAAACTCTGTGATATTGAAGAAATGACTTTAAAAAGTTCTGCAAATATTTTTTGTTAGCTTAGTATATGACTAGGCTTGTAATTATGCTTATAAGAACAAATTCATTTGCCACTAATACTTTTATAAAGTTCACATAGACCCACCCCTCTATCATATACAGTGATATACTTTTTGTAACGTTCCTCTCGCCTTCAAACTTGCATGTAATTAATGAATGACCCATTATGTTCAATAAGCTTTCCAGTTTTATATAAAATTACAAATTTTAGGTTTGTAGTAAATTATTTTATATATTAACATAAATTTCTCATACGTAATCAAATACATATATTTATATACTGTACACGTGTAGTACAGTATTTAATTATAAGGACATATTTTAATTAATATGATAATAATAATATTGTTTAACATATTTTCTATATAAAGGGTATATCATCATTACCACCCCTATTTCATGATTTTTTTACTGATTTACGGGATGACATTTTAAAATTCTGCTCTTATAATTGTTTTTGAGAATGGGAAAGTCAATTTTTAATTAAATTTTTTTATATAAATAATAATTATTGATTTTATATTGCTCTGAAATTATTGTAATGTTATATATTAGTATATAAAATACAGTTGTCATTTATTACAAATTGAATTATTCATTATTTGCTTTTACAAGTTATAAACAATGTTATCAAATACCATATTTTCCTATAGTTTATAGAAGTGTATATAATAATTAGATATATTTTATTTAATGAATATCTTTCAATTGTTTTTCTAAATAGATATTTACTATGGAACTTATTATTCAGTAAGAAAATTTTTTTGCAAATTAATGTTTGTATAGAAAAACCTTTAACATCATATGTAATTCATTTTAAAGAGACAAATGATTTAAAATTAATAAATTTCTCTCTCCAAAGGCATTAATATGTACACTGTTTTCTTGTAACCAAACAAACAAAATACCTCTGTTAATTCTTCTAATCTCTTAAATAAGTACATGAACTTCCAGCCCATTGTCAGGGGCACGAAAAGAGAGAAATTTTCAATTTTTTTGGTCTCCAAGAAAGCAGTGAGGAATACTTTTTTAAAATTAATTGTTATTATTAGATGAGTGCAAATATGAAGAAATCAAAATAGTTTCCTATGTTAATCTTAGTGCCAAACAATTGCTGGATTAGATTTGTCATTATTACTGTTATTAATAATTGAAAGCTAAATAATTCAGCCTAGAGGTAGGCATTAAGCACCATCTCTTATTAAATTTAATAAGAGATGGTGCATCTGATGCATGATCTAATCCAGCAGTTGTTTGGCTTTAATATTGGACTTACAGATGTTTATATTTTAATCTTAGTGTTAAATATTATATATTTATGTAAATATTGCAGTTCTGAATGAGGAGTTTGGAGTTTCCAAATTTTAGACCACCACAAGACCAAAAAAAATCAAAAGAACTATATTTCTAATTGTGACCCTTTGCATGATATTCACCTCTAAATGCTGGTTATTAAACACATGACAGGCTTAATGGTGCATGCAGCATGATTCCGAGTGTGCCCTGGAAGCAGTCTATGCAATGGCAATTCTTGTGTTTTAATATCTTACAAAGCGTCACATGTAAACAATCAGTTCTTTTGACTTTCTACTTTTTTACTACATCTCTGATAAGGTCCCAGCTGCCTCATTCAGAGCTGCATTTGTACTGATTCTTAGTGTTGTCTTATAAATATTTTTACCTAATATAATTTTATGAAATTTGAATAGTTTTTATTGTTTTATGAATATTTATACATGCAAAAATCAAACTCAAAGACAAAAAATTAATATTAAATTCTTTAATATTAAACTGTCAAAGTACTGTATATCTTACTGTATATGGATAAACATGATAGTAAGATGTAGGTTTCAATCTTTACTAGCAATAGCAATTTTATCAACAAAATAAATTGTAATTAACGAATTTATCAACAATTGCAATGTAATTTTTCAAGGTGGTTTTTAGTTATGGGTTGTCATGAGTCGTCACCAAACCACATGTTATAAACCCACGTATATGCATTTGTTCAAAATGTAATTTCTATGGCTTTTTAATAATAAATTTTTTTCTTTTAAACTTAAAACAATTTTACTGTGCTATGATTTGAATTGATATTTTGGTTTAGTGTTCGAGTGTACTTAATATTTTGAGCAGTTGGCAGTTGAAGTGGCTGTAGTTAGCAACATATACATATATAAGATTCTTAAGAACTTAGAATAATATGTGAATGACTTGTAAGTCTTTAGTGTAAATTTATTTAAATTCTTCTCGTTTCTAAGTGTAGAATCTGTGATAAACTG